GTTTCTGAAAGTCTAACTTAAGAGAGTAGAAAACCCCATCTTTCTCTCACAGAACAGCTGGTCATTTCAAACTGCTTACCGTTCAGATTCCAGCCCAATGCATATCCACTATGCCACCAGGGCAGAGAATTGTGGACACAGAATATGCTCATTTGGTAGGCAAAGACGGAAGAAGAAAGAACCAGAAAAATGTCGGAAGAAAAGCAGACAGCAAAGAACTGACCTAAGCTTAGGCATTTTCCTTAAAAACAAAATTATTTTGGAGTGGGAATTTTTTTGTTTTATTCAAAATAGAATGCCTTTGGTTGGTATATTTGCATTCCCCTTTGAAGAACATTCCACTCCTTATCCTTCTCTCCTTCTTATCTATTCTATTTATTCCTCTTTATCCAATCCCCATGGTTGCTGTAAGTCAGAATGGCTGGTTTGGTCAGTTGTCTAGTGCCCATTTCTTACCTTCTCGGCATCCACCTGTGAGGGGGTGTGACCAGGCCCACTGTAATCTGAGTCTCATGAGCAAGGACTGAGGACAAAGGAGGCCCAGGATCACACTGACTGCCTGGTTGATCTTGAACAAACCAGCCATCTGGTTGATCTTGCTTTACCTCTCTTGTTTTCTCATTTGTAAACTCCACACAAAAACTCCAAATTCACTGCCTTTGAGTTGATTCCGACTCATAGCAGCCATATAGGACAAGTATAGCTGCCCCTGTGGGTTTGTGAGGCTGTAAATCTTCACAGGAGTAGAACGCTTTATCTTTCTCCTACAGAGCAGCTAGTGGTTTCAAACCACTGACCTGCCAATTGGCAGTTCAACACTTACCCAACAGGGCCACCAGAGCTCCCATTTGTAAACTAGAAATAATAAATTAAAATAGACGAAGTCCTGAAGCCTGATTGGCACTACTGTATTATTATCATCATTATCATATTGTGCATCTCTGCTTCCACTGGAGCCTTTCAGGTTCATGAAAAAGACTTGGGTTGAGCCTTAGCCCTTGGCACCTCTAAAGCATAAAAAGAAGTCACTACTGTAGTTTCGGAGTCCATAGGTAGAGCAAAGGGTTAACACGCTCATCTGCTATCTAAAAAGTTGTCTGGGACAGCTTAACTAGATAAGCCTCTATCAAAAAGTACAGCGTCTGGGGTCTTAAAGGCTTGAAGGTAATCAAGCGGCCATCAAGCTCAGAAGCAACAAAGCCCACATGGAAGAAGCACACCAGCCTATGCAACCACGAGGTGTCGAAGGGATCAGGTGTAAGGCATCATCAGAACAAAAAATCTTACCATAGTGAATGATGGGGGGAGTGTGGAGTGGAGATCCAAAGCCCATTAGTAGGCCACTGGAGATCCCCTTGCAGAGGGGTCTCGGGGAGGAGAGGAGCCAGTCAGGGTGCGATGTAACAATGATGAGAAATACAATCTTCCTCTAGTTCCTAAAGGTTTCCTCCCCGCTCCCAATACCATGACTCGAATTCTATCTTGCAAGACTGGCTAGACCAGAGGAGGTACACTGGTACAGATAGGAACTGAAAATACAGGGAATCCAGGACGGATGAGCCCTATAGGACCAGTGGTGTGAGTGGCAAAACAGGGAGGGTAAAGGGAGAATGTGTAGGAAAGAGGGAACCGATTACATGGAACTGTGTGTGACCTCCTCCCTGGTGGACAGACAACCGAAAAGTGGATGAAGGGAGACGTCGGACAGGGCAAGATATGACAAAATACCCATTTATAAACTATCAAGGGCTCATGCGGGAGGGGGGAGCGGGGAGGGAGGGGAAAAATGAGAACCTAACGTCAGGGGTTTAAATGGAGAGAAAATGTTTTGAGAAACGATGTACAAATGTGCTTTACACAATTGATGTGTGTATGGATTGGGATAACAGTTGTATGAGCCCCTAATAAAATGTTAAAAAAGAAAAAAAAAAAAAAGATAAGCCTCTGAAGAAAGGTCGGGTGATTTCCTTCTGAAAAATCAGCCATTGAAAAATATATGGAGCAAAGTTCTGTTGTGAAAAACATTAGGTCACCATGAGTCAGAATCAACCTGACAGCAATTGGTAGTTTTCAGGCCTAGAGGAGAATTGGAAAGAGAGAAGATGAAAGAATGTGTTTGTTTCAATTCTCTCCTTGTTCCACATACAAGACCACTAATCATAGGTACTTAAAGAATTACTTCAAATATAACCAGAACCAAATCCAACTCACTGTCATCGAGTCGATATCAACTCAAAGTGAATCTATAGGACAGGGTAGAACTGCCCCGGTGATTTTCCGAGACTTTAACTGTTTAAGAGGGTAGAAAGTCATTGTTCTCCCAAGGAGCAAGCTAGTGGTTTAGAACTGCTGACCTTGCAGATCGCAGCCCAACATGGAACCACTACAAGAGCAGGGTTCTCTTAAAATATAAGGGAGCTTTAAAAGCTTGTGGTGAGATTCTGTATCTTTTCATCCCAATTTTTTATGAATTTTTGAACCCCCTAATTTAATAGCTTGTTTCTATTTTATAATGAAACAATAGCTTTACCTGGTCTTTCCACTTTTATAACTTCTGCTCCAAGATCTCCTAAATTCATTGTAGCAAAAGGTCCCGCCAATACTCTAGAATATTAACAATGATAAATAATTATAATCTTGAATAACTGTTCATTCTTTTCTTAAAAGTCCATCAACACACACACACACAAATTCCATCAACCCAGAAAAGTGAACACAATATACTATAAAGAAGTACAATAGTTAAACTGTTATAAAAAATACTTTAATCAAAATATATCCTTTTCAGTCTAATAATTCTACTTCTAAGGTATAAGGATGTAATCAGAAATCAAAGCAAGCATTTATGTGCAGAGAAGTTCACTGAAGTCTAGTTTTTAGTCATAAAATACGGGGGGGTGACTATATAATTTTTACATCTATAAAATAAAAGATCTTTCATTTTTGTTGAATTTTGAATAATATGGGAAAATGTTAAGGTACATTATGCTTAAAATGAATAAAACTAATTTCAGTAGGGTTCCATTTTCTGTTTTGTAAAACCATATGTAAATATGTAGATTGGAAAGAAGTTAATAGAAGTTATATTATTATCCCTGAGACTAATGAGAGTACAGAATTTTATTCATTTCTTTTCTAAAATCTTGAAAAGCATATGAAGATCTTTTTATAGTCCAACATTAAATGTTTTAAAGAGAAGGGGGGGAAAATCAATCTCCAAAACCTATTTAAATCAATACAAACCTTGTTAGATCCAGAATTTTTAAGCCTTCCAATGGCTTCATATTGTCAGTACCTGCAAAACACAGGTGGAATGTGAGGTTTTGTTACTAATTTTCAGAAAAAAGAGTATAGAAGTTTTCGTATTGTTCTAAGTAATATATACTACAAAAAAATGTTCTTTCTTTCACAATGTTTCCACTTTATACTTACTGTATAACCCAGTAAATTTTATCTGATCCAATGAAAAGACAGTTAGTAAAACTAAAAACCCTTAGTACCACTCTAGGAAGCCATCTGCGCAGATCAAGAGCCAAACCATTATCTGCAGGCACACAAATAAGCCCAAGTGAACCCAGGAGAATGGCCCAGCCAACCCAGAGACTTCTGAGAAAAATAGCTGTTGCTATTGTAAGCCACTTAAATTATGGAGTGTTTAGCCATGTGGGCACAGATAAACCAATACAATGACTTAGGGAAAAGATGGGCAATAGTAAGAGTCAGGGTAATCCTTTTAAAATGTAAAACAAATGCAATATCCCTGCACAAAAACCCCCCTAACACCTTTCTACCACTAATAAAGTTCAGTGTCTTACCCCAGGCCACAAGTGCCTGTTTCTTGTCCTTGGCTACCTCTCCAGCCTCGCTCTTTATCAGTTTACCTCTTTCTTCTCTAGTTGTATCAACTCTTCAGTTCTTGAACACAGTAAACTGAATTATGTTTTAGGGTTCGTGGCAGGAACAGAGTACAAATTACAACTAGATCCCCTTCAAGAAAGAACATACTGCCCACATACAAGAAGTGGGCTTACCTAGCAATCTGACAAGCTATGAGCTCAACAGAATCTCATGATTCTCAGGTCAAATGACTGAGTAATGTGGGGACAGAAAGGCCTAGCCATTCCCTCCACTCAAAAGGAATGTGGCAGCAGCTCTCCTTGGAATCTCTCTGGAACTCCCCTGGACTAACAAAACAGTGTCAGGTCAATGTGCAAATCTGATGGCTCCCATGTCCGTCTTTTCTCACAGGTGTCACTCTCCAATAAGCCCTTCACCCATCTAACTCCATCTCCTCCTCAGCTTTCTAGAGAACCAAGCAAATGCCAGGGTTTTTGCACTTGTTGTTCACTATGCCTGGAAATCTCTTCCTCTGTATAGTACATCATGCCTTGCTCACTCAATGAAATGTCTGCTCAAATATCACATAATCAGAGTGAGCTTGCCTGAATGTCCCATCTTTATAGGACAACACTCTTCTGAATATCTCCACTCTACTTTTCACAAGACATTTAGCATTGCCCTCTATTAAATTTATTTGTTCATTATGCACCTTCCCCCACTAGAATATAAACTCAATGAGGAAGTGTCCTGAGAAGTGCATGGAATAGGGGCTGATACTAAGAAATAGTAGAGAGATAACTCTGGAAGGGAAAGAAATAGAGAGAGAATATGAGAATCCTTAAGAATCTTCAGTGACAGGAACTCCCATCTAAGAAGGTGCATTTCTGTACCAGAGCTGTATCACACCATCCTTGGGCCCTCTGCTGGAAAAGTAGAATCAAGTCTCAAATCATGCCTTTAATTGTATCCTCTAGTATTACAGATGTAGGACCGTACTGTATCATACTTCTGTGAATGTAAAGTATCTTGTACCTGCTTTATGACATGTAATAGTGACTACTATATTAGAGCTGTTTTTAATGATGTTACTCTAGAATGTTTTCTTTCCAATGATGATTGAGAAGCTAATTTGAAAAAAATGGTGCCAAGTACAACAGTTAAGAACTTTGCTATTTTCTGAGATTTTGTTTTGTTATTTTTTTTCCTTTTGTTTTTTTAATGGAGTGTGCTGGATGTCTCGATAATTGTGTTCAGATGACTGCAGAACCTGGAAAAGCTGTTGGTGCTATTGATGCATAACACTGCGATTGGTCTTTTTATATAAATATATATATATGTTATATATATATATAATTTGAATTTTTGGAAACTTTAGCTGTGCTGTCAACTTTGGAAAAGTAGCCCAGTTGTACCATGTTAAGTTGGCATTGTACAGAAATTAACAGCCATATTGGTCTAGAAACGTTAAACTTATTTTTTTCCCATTTGTACAGGGGTAACGCACTATATTAAATATGTAAGGTCTTATCTACATTGGTTTGATTACAGAAACTAATAAAGTATTCTCTAAATAATGGAGGGGAAAAGAATCTAAGAATAAGGATGATCATTAGAGACTAGAATCCTAAAACTCAAGTAGCTGATTCCCTTGTCACAGAGACAGTTCTAAAGCAGAGGTGGGGATGAGGGAATTAAACATAGACACTGTGAAATTGCTCTGCCAAATACATTGATGGGAATTGGGGAGTATGGGTAAGCTTAACAGCTAGATGGAAAATAAAATTAGACAGAGGAGCGGAAACTGAGCAAAATGGCATGAGAAAAATTATCAAAGGAAAATTTCCCCCAATAAGATGGCCATTATGGGTTTATTTATCCCCATCAAAAAAGTTATGTTTTAAACCCTAGTACCCTTTACTTTGCAAATGCAATGAGTTAACCTGCGGCTGTACTGAAGACGCCATATGATGGTGGAGACAGAGATGAGAGTGATGCCTCCAGAGATCAAGGCACACCCAGGGCTACCAGAAACTGAAAAAAGCAAGCAAGAAGCTTTTAAGAGAATTTGGGAATATGGCCCTGCCAATACCTTGAATTCACACTTCTGGCCTCCAAAACTGTGAAAGAATAAAATTCTGTTACCATAAGCCACCCTAATCTCCTAAAAACAAGAAACAAATGTTCACCATTCAGTTTACTTTTTTTCTAACACAACCATCTCCCCTGCAAAATTCAGGCCAAAATTGTATCTTTAAATTCATTTTCTCCCTCTTAAGTATCAACGGGGAAACCATGAATCCTAAGAATTAGATACTCTATTTTCATAAAGATTGGTCTCCAATTTTTTGGTGTATTTTAGGAACCCTATTTTATTTCAAATGATGCACAAAATAGAATTCATTTTCCTCATCCCCTAAATCTTAATTGCATTACAATCAATGCAGAGAAGTCACTATTTCACTAACAAGCCCATCTTTCAACCACAATGCATTGTCATTCTTTTTAAGTGGCATTGAGTCATTAGGACTTGCAGCAACTCTCTATACAAAAGAACAAAGCACTTGAAGGTACTGCACCACCCTCACAATTGTCGTGTTTCAGACATGTGGCAGTCACTTTCCGACCCATCTCCTTCAGGACTTTTCTCTCTTTCACTGACTCTCTACTAAACCAAGTATTATGTCCTTTTACAGATACTGATCTCTCCAAATAACATGTCCAAAACACAAGAAACAAACTCCCACCATCCTTGCTTCTCAGGAGCATTCTGGCTGTTCTTCTAAGAGAGATTTGTTTGTTCCTCTGGCAGTCCATTTTACCTTACTTTCTTTTCCCCCATGGTACTTTCAATATTCTTCTCCCAATCATAACTCAAGGATCAGTTCTTAGTTGTTACTTATTCATTGTTCAGCTTTCACGTTTATATGAGGCAAATGAAAACAGGTACAGACGCACGCTCCCCCAGGCTCATCACAGCCCAGTTGATAATAGCAAGAAATTGGAAACAACCCAAATCAGTAAATGGTTGGATAAAGAAACTCTGGTACAAACACACAATGGAAGACTACGCATCCCTAAAAAAGTGATGAAAACACAAAGTACCTCATAGCATGTGGGACCTGGGAACCATTATGCTAACTGAAGTTCATTAATCACTAAAGGAGATATATTTTATGAGACCACTACTATGAGGATAAACACCAAGGCTTCTGGTCTCAGGTTATATAATCTTCTAATCTGGTGTCCAAAGCAACAAAGTGGTGTGCCAGCCTAAATAATCCATATGTCACCTTGTTATTTGTACACCTTAATGAACAGTTTGACAGAGAATGCCTCACTTCTGCTGGGGTCAGTTTCTCATGTTGGGTAGAAATAAAAGACCAGTCAGGTCCTGTCATATAATATTTTTATGGTCACCCCAAATCAACAGACATTCTTACAAGAGTGGTCGGTGAACCTTAATGGAAATTCAAGTCCAGGGGTGTCTGAATGGAGAACATGTCTGTGTCAGAGAAGGTGATTTCATTTCTGTTAGTGGGGCAGCCTAATGGGAAAAAATGTTTAATATTACTTATCTATATAGACCCCCAAGGGGGAGAATATGCCTAGTAATAGGTTTCTAATTGGGCACTTTTGACCCAGTTTCTACCCAACCCTTTGTGACCCAGGCCACATTTTTGGAGGACCAGGACTCTAAACTCCGTCCTTTCAAGGTGCACAGGATCCTTGATAGGCCATATAATAATAATCCAAATTGGAAACCCCACTAAGCTAATTAGACTTTACTTTAAACACTCCTTTTCCAGATTAAAGGAACTGAAAAAATCTCTTGGATTTAAAGCTGAAACACCCTATTGTGAGAAGCAGGAGATCACAACTATCCCAAATTGATGGATTTGGAAGTCATTGGAATGTTATTCAAATCCCTTGCTTTGAAGGTACCTAATAAATGGTAACTCAAGACTACCATATATTTGCTATTTTCATACTTTGTTCTTTTTTATAATATGCCTTAGCCCAGAAGGCATAGTTCTGCCTCTGTGAATGTGCATCTGACCCATCTTCAACCCTCATTGTTTGCATAGTGTCCAGTCACAAGTTTTAATCTATACAAGTCAATAATCCATATATTTTGGGCTAGAAAGCTGTCCTATATATGTATACTTTACTTTTCTCAACAGCATTTTAAATACCACATCATTGGCTATGTTAAGGGTATTATCAATTGAATTATCAAATACCCCTAGGAAATGATTTATAATGCTCCCCAATAAAATAATGCCTCTAAAGTGGACCTGGGGCATATATAAGCCATAGGTATATGAACAGATTTTGAGCTTGCACTTAATCGAAGATATGGATGCTGTAGTAAAAGGTTGTGAAGAAATCAGATGGCACCTGGCTATCAGAAAGAACAGCATCTGGGATTTTAAAGGCTTGTCTTAAAACAGACAG